AATTGAGGAAATTCTCATCGGTTTCTGTACGCTTCCACCCGAATTTGTATGTAAACTTCTATAACTAGTGAGGAAATTTCTGGACTAGGCTGAGGAATACGAACATATATTCTAACACTGCATTGTGTATTGTCAGGTCGATGAGGCGGATCGTGGCAGCGCGCCGGGTGAAGTGGTTAAAGTTGAAAGCAGCAAGTATAAGATGAAGACGAGGCTTATATACTGCCAACGGTAGATGCCTTGGAAGGCTGCCGTGTCACCATCGTGCCATTCTACTCCTGGCTGAAGTCTCCTCCCCCTCCTCCCACAGGTGCTTTGTACTACAGCAGTATCATCGCTTACCCGATCCTAAGCAAGAGGAGGATAGGCTCAGAAGGAGGGAGATCGATGAGGGGCCTCCCGTAGAGGAAGCCAGAGATGAGGGGGAAGAAGTGGAGGACGAAGACTCGATACAAGTAGAACCTTTACAAGAGTTGGACGATGGCGAGCTGGCTGAGGTCGGTGGAGAGGACGACTTGTCGGATGACAGCTCTGTGATTTGCGTGACGGTTAGCAGAATGGACATAGCTCATCGAACTGGGATATTTGAATTCTACCTGGAACTCGATTCTGTGATAGAATTGAGTATTATAGATGTATTAGCATTAGAAATGTGTCCGCGTTCTCATCTTCCCTAGATGCGACTCGTGTCATCGCTCAGGTCTCCAAGCAGACCTCTATGGGGTATTACCGTATGAAAGGCGGATATCAGTGGCAGGAAGAAGAGGAGATCGTTGCTAAGGTCGTTAAGAGCATCAGGAAAGGTAAACTACTGCCTTGCTCTAATGCTACTTGCAACAGTACAGTATGGTCGATTTTGATAGTCTGAAGGGGAAGAAGTTCATATCTTTTAAACTAAGACGTATGATTTTACTTTCACATAATCATGCAAATTTGATGCCCTATGAAGCCTTAGGAGGCAGGGGGCGTATTAAGCTTCATCTAGGCGCTAGGCCAGGGCTGAATAAATGCTTGTGAGTTTGTAGCAAGGATGCTGCTAGGTGTTGTAAACTGTACGCCTCCGGAGTGTGATGCTTTCTCTTGTACGCCTGATTCAGTACTCTGTTACTGCTGATGTACAGTTACAGTGTAAAACTATAGGGGCCTTGCTCGTTGGGAGTTTCTTACACATACTTCTGGGTTTTACGCCCAGCAACATCCCTGGCTTGCAGACTCACTCGTCCTCATGTTGGTGGACATTCTGGACTTTGAAAGCTCCATCGTGCCCGAGCTGTTCGAGTCGTGTCGACAGAAGAACCTCCAAGTGGCCACTGCTCCTCCTCTAGTGCGCCTTTTTACTCCTGCCCTCAGGTGATGTTCGTTATTAATAAGATAGATGGCATCCCATTCTACGAGAAGAAGAAACATCAGATTCGTCAGTGGGCCACCCGAATGAGTCGTCAGATCAAGAACGCTCACTGGTCGGATGTGGTCGGTGCCCCCTCTTTTCCCATGGCCCTCCAGGCCCCTCCCCAGGTTCTCGTATCTTCACTCAACGGTACGGGCTTTGCAGAATTGGAAGACCGGATGCGACAGTACCTCTCAGCCGATAAGCCCAGGTGCGTCTGAGTTGAGAAGATACTCTAATGTGGGCCTTTTAGGTGGATATACATCGTGGGAAGAGTGAACACGGGCAAGAGCACATTTGTTAACCGCTGGCTACGCCATATCGGTTACACCCATCTTGGGACCGTCAACTACAAGCGTGGCACGTGAGGCGGTCTCCTCCTCCTCTTCCTGTACACTCCACTGTAGCCTGCCTTAGAGGTGGCATCACGCGCTCGCCCGTCCCTGGCACCACAATGCAGTTTGTGACTTTCGGCCTGCCTCGAAAGTTCCGTCTGGTCGACAGTCCCGGCATCCCCTCTAAAGTTCAACTCAGTAGCTTCCTTGAGGACCCCAAGGACCTGTAACTCGCAATTTCCCACTGCTAAAACGAATAGCGTCCGTAGATACGATCTCTCGTTGTGTCGGCAGCACCTGTGCGGCCGTCACACATTCGATCAAACCAGGGAGATCGCTCATCATGGGGGCGGCCTGGCTAGGATAGACCATAAGGGTGCATCGACTCAGGGGATGTGATCCTGGAAGCAATGGGAAGTGCCTGCTAGCAGTAACTCCATCAGGCACGCCCAACCGGTGTTCCTTTCCTGCTTTGTGAGTAACAAGGTTACTCTACATGTAATTGACACGAAGAAAGCTGAAGACTTCCTCACTCGGAGAAAAGGTCGCTATAAGACTCGTGATGCGGTCGCCGTGGACGAGGAGCTCCCCTTAGGTACGTTCATGTACCCTCCTCATTCTGCTGATGCCCGATTGCCTCCTCTCACCAAACATAACGTCGAGTAAGCATTGCCTTCTCCTGAGGGCCGATTTCCGGGTGCTTGTCAGAGTGTACGCCCCGAATCCTCATACAGCGATGGATGACATTTCTATAGCAGGGCTAGGATGGATCACCGTGTACGGGTATGGTCACGAGGAGCTCACTGTATGGGTGCCTGAGGTGCTGTGTCGTCTTATACCACTCCATCCGTAACTTGTGTCGATTCGTAGGGCGTTAAGGTGTTCCGCCGGCCTGCAATGCTGCCCTTTACCATCCGGCAGAAAGGCGTGTCGGAGTTCCATCCTCGAGCTCGAGGAAGGGGACAGAAAGTTGCGAGCGAGAAATTCAAACAAGTTCATGACAAGTGGGCATCAGTCCGATGGTTTCCTCTACTGCTTTTTCTCTCAGGAATCTTCGTGAAAAGTGGCGCTCACAGACGGCAGCAAGAGAAGCTTCATTCGTTGGCTCAGTGGAGTCCGCTCCCTCGGAAGGCACCCCCTTCGTCGAGGAGCACTCAGACAGTGTTCGAACCGAAGCTACTGTGGAGTCGCATTCATGATCAAATGCATCCCTCAATCACGTTTCTGATTGCTGTTTCCATCATCCGATCATTTCGTTTCGTGTCGTAATATAGTGAAGCCATTTGGCGAGTTCAACATGTGAGAGTACAATCCCTCAATTCGGAGTTGCATTCAAACAGCAGATTTCCGTATAGTAGTATATGGTCGTACACTATTCGGCACTGATGGTGTGCACTGTCTACTAGCGGATCTGGGCGAGCTTAGCTTGTTGCTCACACGGTGAGCTGAGCCTAGGCCCGACAAGAGAACAACACTGTGCTGAGTATGGAAGTCACGTCAAGTGATTGGCTGCACACTACACTGCTAGAGCGGTCGCAATCTATGAAGCAAACCTTGTCATCAGCTGTGCTGACTGCAGTCACCTCACACCACAGCACTTGGGTACTGTATTGAGTGAACAGTTCCAACGTAGGTTTCCACTCAGGAGGCAACCGATATACCACACGAACGAAGGAACGAGCTATGATGTGTTGCCTTCTTCGAGCCACAAAGCGTTTCGCGCAGCAACAACAGCTCGAACTTGCACAGCGACATGTCCAACCGAATTGACGGAATCCCCAACGTCGGCGACCTCTCATGAGGGCTTTGAATCGTATGAGGACTTCGAGGAGTACTTAAGACCGACGAATGACTCTGACAGCGCAACTCGTGGGAAGGACGGAAAATGAATATTCAGCATATGGCCGGGCAATCGATCCGGCCAGAGCTACCCACCTGACTTTCGGATGGGATAGGGAAAAAGTCGTCCTCGGCGAACAAAGTCTACGCTACCTGAGCGAGAGGGTGAATAGAAAATGGGAAAGCAGGGGATCTTACATCAACGGCCGCAACAATACATATAAAATCCCTGAGGCGTCGGACAGCATCTGGTACAGTTCTTGGGACATAAGGAGTCCTCCAATTTGATCTCCCGAGCCACGAGATCTTTGGGTGGAGGCTTATCTGTAAGACTTGAGCACTGGATAAAGCAGCATGCGCTGAAGAGGAATTTGGCGAAGGAGCGCATTGAGAACAGAGGATTAACGCTGAATCGAATTCGTCGACCATGGAAGAATGCCCACAGGAGCATGCGAGGTGTATCATCTTACTTCTCGAACCAATCCTCAGTGCGAATAACTCGTCGCTATATATTCCATCGACCTCCCAGTTCGCATAGATGGTTCGTAGACTCTCCCAAAAAACTAGCGTCACGTCCCTCACGGACGGTCCTTGGCGTGACGGCTATCGGGCTGGCCCTTCCTCACCGGCGTACCATCCTGAGTCGCAACACGTCACGTGTTACACGTGGCCAACATCCTGCCTTAATACACTGTCAACACAGCAACTACCTACTGTCCGCAGTCAGAGGTTCATACAAGGTGACCCCGGCTATGAACTTGATAGCCGGAGACCCAAGCTCGGTCTGTGCGCAATGTGATGGGGTAGTAACACCAGCACAGTCTGTCCTACTTACAGTGCTGGAATCACAGAGCATACATTGTGGAGTCTTCTGCACATTCACAGTTTTGGAGAAAGCTCGTTAGTTTGGTCCCACAGCTCTCTAATTTTCATCTTCTGATACTTGAATTACCCAATCTAGTGCGGAGCCCAAACTTCGGACTGCTTTCCCTGTGCGCGTGATTGTGCATGCGTGCGTCTAGTTAAGCTGTCTGCCGGTTCATTCAGCTGCAACAGCTCGTCGCTTACTTCGTCTGCAGCTCACAAGCCGTCCGTGACGGACGGTCCCTCTATTCATAGCCCCAATCCTTGTTCACCACGGTGGTGATATCACCATTGACTTCATCATCTTGCTTTTCTCTTCGCCCGCCTGTAGTGGGATCTTGCGCAGTCATTTGTACTTGCGTGCTCTGTTCAATCCATAGCTAATCGGGGAGGCTGGTCGTAGTTGGTGGCTGTTCCAGCTGTTGGCGCTCCTCTTTGTCACCCCAACCTCACTACTTCATCCAACAACTTATACTAAAGTCCCTCTGGGTTGTGTTACCTCATCTGAGCACTAGAATCACCACTTAGTTCATATCTGTCCCGAACCCTACAACATTTGGGGGCTGAGCCGAGAAATGTCTGATGCTTCCACTGAGAAGATTGAGGCATTGACTGATAAGCTGACACAGCTTACAGAAGTGGTGACTCAGATGACTCAGATTCGTGATAATCGGTCATCATCATCGTCATCGGCAACTCTTGTTGGTCTAAGACTACCTAATGTCGTTCTGCCCGTCTACAGATCGACGGATGATTTAGATGACTTCTTGCATCAATTGAGGTCCATTCTTGCGACTACAGAGACCCCTACGAAACATTGGGTTGCTCTGCTGAAACAGCAAGTGATGCAAGATAAGAGGGCTTTCGATTTGGTGAGGTTAGCTGAGTCTCAGTATCATTCTGAGCTCACGAGTGCTAAGTCAGAGGAGGACTATCGTAACTACTACAAAAAAGTTCAGAGTTTCCTATCTTCTAAAAGAGGGAAACCTAAGGAGGAGAAGACTCTCGATCTACTCACCAAGTTCAATGCTATGTCTCAGAATGTCGATGAGACAGTAGAAGAATTCTCTGTGCGATTTCTGGATCTCCATCATGATCTGCAGAAGTTGATCCCTAACATCTATGTGACAACCTCCCAGGAGGAGAATGGATCGACTAAGGTTAATGACCTTCAGTTGCAGTTGCAGTTCATTGTGAAGCTGCGGGAAGAGATCCGTAAAGAGATTGTTGCCCGACAGATTAAGTATGACTCTATCCAATTGTTACTTGAGGCGGCTAGACGTTTCGAGACCTTCCACAACCCGAAGACGAGCGCTCCCTGTCCATCACCCATAACTGACAACACAATATGGTGTTCGGCATTGCAATGCTATAGGTGTGGAAGAGAAGGACATTTTGCTCGAGACTGTAAGTTCGCCGATAGAGGTTGGTCCAGATGGCCGGCAGAGAGCCGAGTTTCTCACGCTGGCTGGAACCAGCAACCTATCGATAGGACTGGAATCTCTCTAAAGCCAGCTAGCGAGCCTTGGTGCTCGACTGGCGCGGCAGAGAGCAGTCAAGGACCAATATCTCAGAGCACGTGGCCGCCTAGAAGCTTCTATGATCAAGCTTCCTTTGATGAGTCACAATGGGTAACCAATAGAGATTTATTCTCAAACCAGACCTCAAAAGGTCGTGGTAAGGGGCGTAAAGGAGGAAAGGGCAAGGCCAAGGGGTACGGTTATCGGCAGGGTACCGCCCGGAGAGGACAGGCTCCGAGGAAAAGATATAAAGTGAGTCTGCTGGAGTCAAATCGCAGACAGCATGATGACCAGAGTTCCCCTAATATTTCGGTGCACCGACGAGATAAGGAGGAGAAAGCAGAGGATGCTGCTCACTCCATGATCGATCCTCGAGAGAAGGACGACTTCCTTGCCATGCCCCTATATGTGAATGCCGGTGATATTGGACAAGATGTATCGAGACGCCAAATCCTGGCCACTTCCATATCACCAAGGCATGACTTGCCAGGTGTGAGAACACTCATCGACACCTGTTGCAGTATAAGTCTGGTGAGTCGAGAGCATGCTAAATATTTACAATCGTTGGGCTATCGTTGCGGTAAGGTGGCATCTCCCATCGAAGTCGGTATGGCATCTGAAGAAGCGACCTTCACAACGTCACTAGTACAAGAAGTACCAATGTGTTTCGATGGTGAGAAAGATCATTCTGTGCGGATGGAATGTCCTGTGATTGATGGACTCCAATGGCCCTTGATACTGGGCATCAACCACCTTACTCTGCTCAATGCTCGTATTAACTGTGTTGATCGAATTGTTCAAATCGGCCACAATCACTGGCGTACTGTGCTTGACTGTACGGAGAGTACATCAGGCTCTCGCAGCGACTTGGTTATGAATACTGTTGACCTCGTCCGCTGTAATTTCTCCACTCTCCTCCAGCCTGGGCTCAATGAAGTAAATGTGTGCTTTTCACAACAGCATGTATCACTACCGGACAATCCTTGGGTGAAAGATGTTGGTATCAATGGGAATGGAAAGTATTTTGTGGTCGACGGTCCGATTGATACGTCATCTGTGAGTTTTGGCTCCTTCAACATCCTCGTGGCAAACACATCCCCGAAACCAATACCATTACGAAGCTACGAGCCCATAGGCCGGATTGTCAATGGTGGTGGTGAAAGAGTCTCAGACTCTCTACGTGCCGAGCTCAGAAAGGAGAAAGAGAAGCTGGATGAGGCCCGTGAGGAAATTTTTCGTGATCCTGATCGTGATTTACCGCCTACAGGAGATCGAACTGGGCCGAGGCGAGACGAGGAGTACGCGGCTGAGGTGCTCAAGGCAATAAAGTTAGAGGAATGTAAGGACCTATCTGTTGAGCGACGGGCTGATCTGAAGTTACTTATAACTAAGTACTGCCGAGCCTTCCATCTGCCAGGTGAAATATTCAGTGAGATTGAAGGGTACAAGCATCGTATTGAGACGGGTGATCACCCACCAATCTACTGTACTCCTTATGCCTTCCCAGAGAGCCAAGTGCAGTTCGTGAAAACTGAACTAGATCGGATGGTAGCCGAGGGGATCTGTAGACCAAGTAATAGTCCGTGGAGCTCTCCTGTCTTGATTGTGAGTAAGAAAGATGAGCATGGCGAGAAGGTTCGCCCTAGACTTGTAGTGGATTATCACAGGCTAAATGCGATAACTCAATTCGACAGTTTTCCACTACCTCAGATCAATACTCTACTCTCAAAGTTGTCTGGGAAATGCTACTTCTCCAAACTGGACATGTACTCTGGTTTTTGGCACATAGCCATGGACGAGGCCCACATTTGTAAAACTTCTTTTACTACTCCCTATGGTATATTTGAATATCTCAGATTGCCATTCGGGCTCCAAGGAGCACCAGCATCCTTTATGCGCATGGTCGTGAGTGTTTTCGCAGATTTGCTCTGTGAGAGCGATAGTAGGGGCCATATCCCTCTTGCGGCCTACATGGACGATCTGCTGGTGAGTAGTGTATCTTGGCTTTGAAAGGTGTCTCGAGAAGGGCATTCGTCTCAAACCTTCCAAGTGTTATTTCGGACTGCCTCAGATCGATTATGTTGGCTATCGTGTATCCAGAGAAGGCATTTCCCCTGATCCCTCAAAGGCGAAGGAGATCTCTGCTATCAGTACTCCGACCAGTAAGTCTCAATTGCAAGCCTTTCTGGGTCTGAGTGGCTACTACCGAGATCATATACGTGACTATGCTTCCCGTACATTTCACCTTCGTCGACTTACTCGTGAAAATGTCACGTGGCGATGGGGGGACGTTGAGCAGTCAGAGTTTGAAGATATAAAGCATTCTCTTTCTCACTCTGTTCTCGTTCATCCAGATTTCACCAAACCCTTCATCGTACAAGCTGATGGGAGCAGTCACGGTCTCGGAGCTGCTCTCTGTCAAGTGGATGATAACGGTGTGGAGCGTCCCATAAAGTTCGCCAGTCGAGCTCTGTCATCAGCCGAAAGTAAGTGGTCTACAGAGCAGGTAGAGTTACTTGCCGTCTTGTGGGCTGTTGAGCACTGGCACTACTATCTATACGGGCGTCGCTTCACAATCGTGACTGATCACGATAATCTTCGATGGTTATTACATGTCTCGCCTAAAAAGCCCCGGCTGTGTCGATGGGTTCTGAGACTTTGTGAATATGATTTTGATATTATCCATCGTAAGGGGGCTCAGCAGTCCAATGTAGACTTCTTCAGTCGATATCCTTCCTCCGGTCCTGCCAAGAGTAATGGCCGTGATGGCAATGATCGGTCGTATTGTGCAGTGTGTCATAGAGGAGGCAAAAGGCGGCGGGTTGTGAGTGACAGTGCTACAACGACAGTATCATCATCGTCTGATCTGTATACTTGTGTTAATGTCGCTATCAACTCCCAGGAAAAGCCTCCACTTTGTTTGCCAAGCCGACATGAGATCGTTGAGAGCCAGCGTCGTGATCCTATTATCAGCCAGATCATTCAAAATCTACCGCAAGGTGGAGATGATAGCCTCTATAAATTAGACCCCATCGATGGTGCTTTACTAATGGTTGCTCCATATCCTGATGCCTGGGATATACCGGAAGATGTGGAGAAGTTGGTAATACCTAGTGAATACCAACTAACATTTCTTCGTTACTTCCACATCCAACCTGATAGTGCCCATCGAGGACGCGAAGCCACGCTTTCGAGTGTTGGTCGCTCATTCTGGTGGTCTAATATGGCAAAAAGTGTGAAGAGTTTCTGTAAGCACTGTTTAGGCTGTCAGTTGAGGAAGAGCTCTCATGATCCACTGGTCGGTCGACTCAGAACGTCCATCTATACTAAGCCGTTCTCCGCTATTGGCGTCGACTTGATCGAAATGTCGCCAGGTGAAAGTGACGTTGAGGGGCATCCGTATCATTTCATCTTCCACGCGGTCTGTCTATTCTCCAATTATGTTATTGCTCGTCCGCTTCGATCTAAGAGTATGATGGACGTAGCAAAATGTCTATTCAATGAGGTTATCTGCCATCATGGTTACTTTGGTACGATTCGTTCAGATCGTGGGAAGGAATTTTGTAATTCCCTACTTGATGAATTGTATAAGTTCGGGAATGTTGAGGTTCAGCGAACTTCGTCGCTGAGAGCGCAGTTCAATGGCCAGTGTGAGCCAGAGCTCGGCGATCGGGTCCCGACAAAGTCGGGACCCGAGGACCGGCCCGAGCCCGTTCGGTCTTCGGGCTTTTTCTTGGTGATTTCGGGCTTTCTTCGGGTAGCGTTCGGGACCCGAGAAAGCCCGAGCCATACATCACAATATTCTAGCTCAGTCACGTTTATTGCCGAATAATCGTACTGGAAGTGTCATACTATGACAGTCATAGTGCCAGTGAGTCACGGGGGTACTCTGTCTGATCAACCAACACAACAAAGTCCATTATAATGTAATGAGGTTCATGCAAGGCGGTTTAGTTATCGTTAATTTTCCTCCAGTCATAGTGCCAAATACCGCGGCGATAGTACTACAGTTCTGAGTCAATACCTGAAATCTAACGGCCTATTGGATAAATGCCAAATTGAGCCTACTAGTCGAGTGCCTTCTGGGTAGTTT